ACATCGTCGTTCAGCAGCGTCACGGATTCCACCATGTCCCTCAACATCATCACAGTTACCCTCAACATGGGTAAGGGGGCAGCCAGGGGTGGGGAGGGCTGCTAAGGGCAGTGGGGGCGGATGGCAGGGTCCCAAGAGGGGTGGGGGTGGAAGGTTCCAATTGTCTGTGTGGGGCGGGGACAGAATATTAAGTTCCAGGTGTCAGGATCTGTGGGCGGGGGGGATGAAAGGTTCCAGTTGGGCCGGAGGAAATGGAAGATTCCAGGTGCATGTGGTGGGGTGGAAGGCTCCAAGTGTGTGTGTGTGGGTGTGCGCACTAGTGGGGAAATCAGTATTTCTTTGCTGGCTGGCAGAGCCTGCCAGGAGGGGAGGGGTGGGAACTCCCATGCTGACACCCCGCCTCCCATTTGTCCGGCAGAGAAGTACAACTTTCTGGGCATCTCCATTGTGGGGCAGAGCAACGAGCGGGGGGACGGCGGCATCTACATCGGTTCTATAATGAAGGGTGGCGCAGTGGCAGCAGATGGGCGCATCGAGCCGGGAGACATGCTGCTCCAGGTACTGCATCCAGGACCCAGGTGCCTGGGCTCCCTGCCTGCACCCATCTCTGACTTCCCAGCCTGTACTCCCCTCGTAGAGAACCCAGGCATCCGAGCTCCTAGCTGCTGCCCTCCATCAATCTCCATTGCCCCACCCCACAGGTGAACGATATCAACTTCGAGAACATGAGCAACGATGACGCTGTCCGGGTCCTGAGAGAGATCGTCCACAAGCCAGGGTGAAGGGGGGGTGCTGGGCTGGCGGGGGGTCCCTGTTATACCCAGCCACTCCCCCCCAGAGCTGGCTGCATCCCAGCAACAAATGAGGGGTTCCCCGAGGCTGTGTGTCATTTGAGGATGGGGGGGCAGGGAGGGGGGTCCAGCTGGGGTTATCATAGTGCCAGGCAAGGGACCCCTGTTATACCCAGCCATTAGCCACCCCAGAGCTAGCTGCATTTCAATGCTGGATGAGGAATCTCTCTTACACCCAGCCATGACCCACCCCAGAGTTGGCTGCACCTTAGTGCTGGATGAGGAATCCCTCTTATACCCAGTCATGACCAACCCCAGAGCTGGCTGCATCTCAGGGGTCCCTATTTTATGCAGCTGTGGCCCCACCCCAGAGTTGGCTGCATTTCAGTGCTGAGTGAGGGGTCCCTGTTACACCCAGTGGTGATCCACCCCAGAGCTGGCTGCATCTCACCCCCTTCTTCCTCTGCCCCCAGCCCCATCGTGCTGACGGTTGCCAAGTGCTGGGACCCGTCCCCCCAGGGCTACTTCACACTGCCCAGGAGTGCGTATCACCCCGTCCCCTCTAGCCCTGGGGGAAGGGGGCGGTGTAGGACACCTGGGTTTTCCTTAATGTGGGCCTGGGGGCTTAGAGCAGTGGGTTCTCTCCAGGGAGGTGTGTTGGGGGGGGAGGGGGATGGAAGGTTCCAAGTGTGTGTGTGGGGGGGGAGGAGAATGGTAGCTTCCAAGTGTCAGGGGCGGGGGGCCTCTGAGAGGCCAGACACCTAGTTTCTCTCCAGCTCTTGGGTGGGAATGGGGGCTGTAGGGAGTGGAATAGGTGGGGGTTGAGGGCCTGGATGCCTAGGCTCTTTCCAGCTCTGGGAGAGGGGGGTTGGAGCAGGGTGGGCTGGTTGTCAGACACCTGAGTTCTCTCCCACTCTGGGAAGGGCTGGTAGGGTTGGGGGGTGGCACTGCCTCATCCCCTTCCACCCCACTGCTTCCCCCAGACGAGCCGATCCAGCCCATCGACCCGGCTGCCTGGGTCTCGCACTCAGCCGCGCTGACGGGGGCCTTTGCCACCTACCCCGGGAGCAGCTCCATGAGCACCATCACATCGGGCAGCTCCGTGCCCGAGACTGAGCGTGAGTGCCCCCCCGCCCCCCCCTCCCTCCCCAATCAGGGCCCTGCTTCTCATTAGGTGCCAGGGGTGGGGCTCTGCCCCCTGACACACCCTGTCCCCCAGGCTTTGAGGAGCTGGCGCTGTCAGTGCACACAGACATGGCATCTGTCATGAAGGCGATGGCAGCGCCTGAGTCGGGGCTGGAGGTCCGGGACCGCATGTGGCTCAAGATCACCATCCCCAATGCCTTCCTGGGTATGTGGGGTGGGGCCTAGAGCTGGGGGTGCAGCTAAGGGAGGGGGTGGAGCTTAAGGAGGGGCAAGGGCAGGGGGTTGGGCTGCATAGGTCTCTATATTATGGTCCCCAATGCCTTCTGGGGTACATGGGGGTGGGGCCTAGAGGTGGGGGGGGGGCCGAGGAATAGGGCTGCATGGGGGTGGAGCTAAGGAATGGGCAGGGCCAGGGAATTTCGCTGCCTTGGACTCTATTTCATGGTCCTCTTGGGGGAGGGCCTGAGCAGAGGGTGGAGCTAAGGGAGGGGACAGGGCCAGGCCTGCATGGTAACCCCCACAATGCCTTCCTGGGTACATGGGGGCAGAGCTAAGGGAGGGGTTGTGGCCAGGGCTGTGATAACCACCCTGAATACCTTTCTGGGTATGTGGGGGCAAGGCTAAGGGAGGGGGCAGGGCCTAGTGCCACCCTCTGACCCCAGCAACCCCCCCAGGCTCCGATGTGGTAGACTGGTTGTATCACCACGTGGAGGGCTTCGGGGACCGGCGCGAGGCACGCAAGTATGCTAGCGGCCTGCTCAAAGCTGGCCTCATCCGCCACACGGTCAACAAGATCACCTTCTCCGAGCAGTGCTACTATGTCTTCGGGGACCTGCGGCGCTGCGACAGCTGTGAGCCCCTCCCCCAGGACCCCCTAGATCTTCCTGTGCCCATGGGACCCCCCAAGACCCCCTCCCACCTCAGAATCCCCCCCAAGACACCCCTATGCCCACAGG